CCACTACTACTACTACTACTACTACTACTACTACTAGTACTACTAGTACTGCTAGTACTGCTAGTATTACTAGTACTACTACTGCTACTACTACTACTACTACGACGACGACGACTACTACTGCTACTGCTACTACTACTACTACTACTACCACCACCACCACCACCGCCACCACTGTTTCTACTACGACGACGACTACGGCCCTACGTCTACGGCTGTGGCTACGACGACGACGACGACCGGACTACTACTTTGACAGTGGCTATGACGATGATGTTTTTCGCCTCAGAGTCTGGCAGCGCTTGGACATGTCACCCAGTACCAGGCTCGACGCTGCGGAGGCCGGGGATTTTGTGCATGTGACCTCGCACATCCATCAGTTGGAGCAGCCGGGGTCGCGTGTTGCGGGTTTGAGTGCAACGCGGACTTACAAGGAACTTTTCGGCTTCAGGCCTGGAGGGTTTGGGTTTTAGGATCATGTGGACTCAATGTGGAGGGTCAGAGACAGAGGGCCGGTCATGTTGCTCTCTGAGCCAGTAGTTGCAGGCCAGAGTCGGGCAGGATGAATACAGCTTCTGGCCGTGTGTTTAACTAAACTCTACGCCTGACCCTCCAGAAGGGTTTTGCAAATGGTTGCTGAGACCCTGTGCCACGCCGGTCATTCACAGACCTCGAGTTGCGAGAGAGAGAAAAGCCGTGTAGGCCCAGCGGCACAGCCTTCACAGAGATCTGCAGCTGGCCAAGGAAGGCAGGGGTCCCAAATGGTTTAAGGAGAACATGATGACTCGAAGAAACGGTCCACGATGTTCGTTTCTATGGGCAGCATGGGCGCTCCTCTTGCAGGCAACTTTTTAAGCCTTCACACTCATACTTCGTGCAGGTGAGAAGCAGATGTCCGAAAAGACCATCGAGCTACGGCAAAAGCTGGCAGATGGAAAGGCACCACGAGCAAAGACATCCACAGAAACTGTCCAGGATGTTCTGAACTTCAAGGTTTCCATGTTTTCGAGACTGGTCTGCAGTTGAGTAGCTCTCGCAAGGTGAGGATGCAAGCTCTAATGTACTGCATTATAAGATAGCCTAGTATAGTATTGGATTAGATTCTAATATGCTTTCTCAAGGCTGTCTGTACTGTGTGCCCGATTGCTTAATTGTCTCTCGTTGCTTGCGTGCCCCATAGCCGTACAAACCTACCCTGCGCACGCTACTCAGATACTCGCACTTGCGTGCATGCCGTCAAACCATCACAATAGCCTCACTACTTAAAGGATCATGGGACTTAGTAAGCAGGGTTATAACTAAGGTAACTATACTTACAACCCCAATTAGGGGACTTCTAACCTTACTTACTAAGTCCCATGGTCCCCCAAGTACTGGAACTACAAAACCTGCAGCTTCAACGGAACCGTGGAGGCCGACTGAGGAATGAAGTTCCAGGACATAAGAGTTGAAGGAGTCAGTTTCGATGTTGTAGTGGGGATATGGTCCCATTATCATTATTATTATTTATGGATAAAATATTAATAATTAAAATGAATGGGATAGCTGTCCTCCGGCCATTAAATGATCAGCCCATGGCATCGGACTCACCGAGTCGTCTTGCTTGGCCTCCTGCTTCTCTTTAGCAGGGAAAGAGGAGGCGTGTCATGGAGACGCATTCGGTGTTTATCTGACAACTGTCTCTGTACACCCCTGCCTGCCCAGCCTTGGTTGCGAATTGGCATGTTCGTGGATGTGCTTTCTGGGCCGAAGACATGGAAGAAATGTCGAGTGCTCCATGTTTCTCCAGATGGAGTTCTCTGCATTATACGCTACACCGACTCCCCAAATGTGGAGCGGAACGTCGACGTCAGGAACAGAATAAGAGCCACTCCGGAGACTTTTGCATTGTACAATTCCACGAGGCTGAATGATGCATCGATGGCTCCTGGCAGCCCTGTCAAGGGGGTCATCACAAACCTGAAACGGTATGCTGCCTTCGTGGACATCAGCTCGGAGAACGAAGCCGTCCTGGGATTCACGGAAGCGAATCTAGGTGATCTCCGTGTCGGGCAAGAGGTGGAATGCGAAATTGCCACGAAACGAAGGGGCAGATGGCAGCTGGCTCCAAAAGGAACCTTTGGCTGGGAGGAGGTGGCCTTGCATCGATTCCATGCACAGGGGCGAAAGGCAGGGTGGCTCGCAGGCCGCGTCGTGGATGCCGCAAGGTATTGTCTTTATGTGGATGTTGAAGCCCCGGGCCTTCCTCACACAGTGCGGGGCGAAGTCCATGCTGACCAGATCAGAGATGGCTACGTGGGCGATGCCCGGTTGGAGCAGAGGGTTGGCGATGAAGTTCTGGTGCGCGTCTTGGAGGTGGACGTACCATGCCAGCGCCTGTTGCTCTCCATGCGCGACGACTTCTCGAGTAGCTGGAAGGTCGACAAGGACGACGCACGCCGAGCAGCCAGCTTAGCACGCGAAACTTGGTACGATTCCACAGCTCAAGAACTGGCTTCTGGTGGATTTCTAGTTCTGGCTCATCTCTTCGATGGTGAAGAACCAGTCCCAGCGTATTTGCCTGGGCCTTGGGTGCCGCACCCGTTGCGCCAAAGCTTGCGCAAAGGTTCGAAGGTGTCCGTCCGAGTGGTTGATGTTGATGCAGCAGCCGGCAGGATTCTCGCCACTGCAATGCCCATTGAAAACGGAGGGCCTCTGTGAGGAAGCTAGCCTTTAATCATCCCAAAACCCATCTTGTTGCCTCGACCTGGCGAGACTACTCTGGACTCACAAGCACCATTGATCTTGGCAGGACAGAGCCAGCATGCTTCTCTATTCCAGCCATTTCTGCTGCGCAGGCGAAGGTGCAGAAAGAGCGAGATCAGGTCGGGCTTGATTGCTGACTGCCTGTAGTCTCCATTGTAGTTCCTTTTTGGGGATCCTTTCTAAAATCCTTAATATATAATTGGTTAAACCAACAAAGGAACTACAATGGAGATTATGGGTGACTGCTGACTTCGTAAGCATTCTCGGGATTCTTGCTGTGGCATCATGCGCAATCTATCCGTTGTCAGGTAGCAGTATTGGCTCGTAGAGGAAATGAGCGGTAGCTTTTTGAACTCGACTTTAGTTTCATTCACGTCCATGGAGGTGGTGACCGTCCATAGCCATAGTCAGCTTACTAGGGCCATGTTGCTATAAACAGGAGACGGTGGCATTTTTTACTTGAGTGTACATCGCAAACTTGGTAGAAGTGGTCGCCCCACCGGGCACATGCCAAAGCAGGGAAGCACGCGCCCGGGCCGCTTGAGATCCGACACCGGCCAATGAAGGCTTCAGCGACCCTCCCGTCCTTCGGCTTCAAAGCAAGTTGTGACGTGAACGGCTTGCCTCCCCTAGACAAGCCTCTGCACCAGATCTATGGTCGTAGATGGACGACAGAGACCAAGCGCTACCTCCATGTGCACAAGGAGCGCCGATGGCTTGCCCTGAAGCACAAGCATCAGTTCCTAGACTTCTCTCCCCAAGAAAGGGTTGAGCTGCGCCGCTACTTCGATGAGCTTGCGGGGGTCAACGGTCGGATCAGCCTTGAGCAGCTCGAAACCATGTTGATTTCACTGGGTCTTGCAGAGAACCCGAGGGAAGTTCGGTTCTTGGCATCGCAAGTGGACGATCTGAAAGTCGGGGAGCTGGATTTCGAACAGTTCCTAGAGCTCGTCCTCCGCAGAGGAGACTCCAATCTGGTGACCGTTTTTATGCAAATGGCAACGGGAAAGCTGGGGAACTCGAACCTCAATTTCAAGACACTGATCTCTGCATATCGCCGCCAGCTTTTCCTTGATGCCTCTGGAGCCGGCACCACCGGTCGCCAGCAGTTGGGCGGCAAGGTGCTGCAGAGTTTCGCCGATTTGCAGCGGGGCAGATGGGAGGAAAAGATGGCAGCTCTTGACACGGAGGCGCAGGCCGTGGGCATTGAAGACCCCGACTTCAACGTGAATGGCCATGCTCCTGTCGGCGGACTGGAGATGATATGGCGAGGGGTTTGCGCGGAAAACGACCTGTGGCCGGCTCGGCCCATTGCCGAAGACGGCCGGAAGAAACGGCTCTTGACCAAGCCGCCTTCCCCACGGGACATCCTTCGAGCTATCCAGAAAGACTCTCCCAAACGGAAGACGCTGGTCGGCAAGCACAACACCATCTTCGTGAATGCACCCTCGGCATCGGAGGACAAGTAGAAACGATAGTGGGAAAGTTCAGCACGTTGCTATGCCGAGACTTGGCCCAACTGAAGCGAAGTTACTTGCTTTAGGCGACTGAATTCAAGCACGAATGAACTGTTTATCTCGCAGGATTTCACCTGGTTTACGAGGTCTGGCGGTACAGTCAGTCCTCTTGATGGGCATTGAATAGCTATGCCCGAAATTCCCCGACCCATTCAGAGCCAATGTGGCACTTTGTGGGGTTCCCTCCTTGTCCAAGACGTCGTGTATTCACTGGCGAAGAAGAGCTGGGATCAAAATCTGATGACTCCAAATTCCATGATCTGCTGTAGCTGGTTGCCTCTTGGCCACGTCCAAGCTTGCAAAAGGCATTCACTAGATTCCGTTAGTGCTACCATGTACTGCCAGGGTCAGCTCCGGCGAGAAGAAGTATCGGCTCGCCCCCTGGCGGTGCAGTTGTGTCCACGTTGCGTTCAGCGTTGAGACGGGCGAGCTCGGGTGGCCAGGCCTGTGACAAGAGATTGTCGTCGCTGAAAGACAACACTCAGGATGCAAGATGTCATGCGATCCTCGACAATTTGGCACCCTCAGATGGCTGAGTCTGCAGGAGCTGAGGCGTTCTCTCGGCGAGGAGCGAGATTCAGCCCAAAAGACTGAGACGAGGCTTCGCGAGCAGGCCTAGATTGGGACTTTGGGTGGGCGGCACTCGCACATCGGACTCTTGCGTTCAAGCATGTTCCAAAATGTCAGGTAGACGCAATGAAATGGATGCCCGCCCCCAATTCTCACACCCACACATCCACGCACACCCAAAGTGTCAGTCGGGGAGAGAGAGAGAGAGAGAGAGAGAGAGTGTGTGTGTGTGTGTGTTTGTGCGTCTGTGTCTGTGTGTCTGTGTGTGTCTCTTGTGTGTGTGTGTGTGTTTGTGTGTGTGTGGGTGGGTGGGTGGGTGGGTGGGTGGGTGGGTGGGTGTGCTTGGGCGCGGGGGGGGAGTATAGTCTGAGTCTTTGCTTACACAACCCCAGGTGTGTAATCACGGTTTAGCACGCCTGGGCATGTTCGTGCAGTCAAGCTCGTCGCCCAGCTCAATGCAGGTTGGCCGGAAGACTCGGTACGAACAGGAGCTGTCGTCGCTGAGGGACCAGCTGGACAAGCTGCGAAAGGAAGGCATGGAGTTGCAGGCTCGCTTAGACTTTAGACTGCATGGTTGTTGGGGATACAGAGCTGGCTAGTGGTTGCGATGTTCGCCACATCATCGCTTTTTGTGTAAGGAGCAAAACCAGGAAAAGGTAAAGGAGGTGAAACAGCTCCAAGAAAGGCGGGGATGTTGCAGCTGTCGCGCCCGTTGAAGTCAATCTTCGATGCCTGCTTCGCCGCTGCCAGGCTCTTATGCGAGCAAGAAAAGCATCGCAGCGAACTTCAAGCAGTCCTTGCCTCAGGCTTATCGCAATGAGCACATGCCAATTATGATCTTTAGCTGCACGCTGCCAGTCGTTCAGCATCTTTCCACGCAGACTCCATCAGCATGTTCGCTGGCATTTGCACCAGGTGTTGACCTGCACGCAGGATGTGTAGAAGGGCCACGAACCGATCTGTCGTGTGCTAGTGTGCCGGCCAACTGGAACGAAGCCGAAACCAAGACTGCACGACTATCAGCAAAGACTAGGGACGAGACCGCGGCAGCTTGATAGTTCTTCAAGTTCGGGCGTGGTGTTGGCTTGCGAAAGTGCGTTTCCGTGGTCTGCGCACCCTGTCGACAATTGAACCAAGAACCTCATCTGGCTCAGTCCGAGTGTAAAAGCGTAAAACCGTACATACTCCGAACCCCGCCGCAAGCCAGCCTTTTGGATCAAGACCGTCGCATCTCGACCCCTTTGTGCCAAGGCGGTTTCGCAGAGTGTACAGAGGCTCAGAGCAAGCACCGAGTGTACAGAGGAATACAGACGGGCTTGCCTGCCACATTGCCGACCGCTTCAATATGAACCGCGTTCTGTTGACCTTTCTGTGCGTCCTGGGCACAAAAGGATTCCTCACCGAAGGGCCAGCCTCTTCGACTGAGGCATCCGCTGAGTTGTCTCAGAATTTTCGAAGGACAGACCCCGGACTCCGTGCCGGTAGCGGAGGTAGCCGAACCTGGCCGCTCTATCATACGGCACCCTCCGTGTTGACAGTTGCAGGCCTGACCTTGCTCCGGAGATACCAAGGGCAGGTCGGCAAGGACAAGAAGATTCCCAGAGGTTTCGCGAGCACTCCGGAAGTGCAGTCTCATAGCCACGCGGTGCCAATTGTGGATGAGACAGGATGCGGCCGACACTATCTTGACTACTTTGACTCTGGCTCCCGGGAGGAGGACGGCAAGCAACAGGCATGCCGGCGATATGGTAGGGTCCGGACACTCCCGAACTTCCGGACACTGCCGAAGTTGAGCTCCATCTCGGCCCCCTTGCCTTTGGAGAGCACTGCTGGGGATCTGCTCACGTGCGACACGTTCGATCCTGTCGCCGAGATGTCAGCCATGCCGGAAGCTTCTCCCTCCCTTCTAGAGCTCGGCTGCCTGTTCAACAGCCTTCGCAGCCAGGCAGAGGAAGGTGACTTCCATTTCATAGAAGCCGTCACGGATGAGCTGAACGTGCGCTACAAGGTCGGTTTGACCCCAGCCGACGCGCAGCGCATCTACGACATGCTCAGCAAGCACGGGAAGCAGGAGATTTCATGCGAGAACTTCATGCAAACTCTCCGCGATCTTTTATCTCCCGTGTTGGGCTCCAACAGTCACCTCTCCATTCAGCAGCTCCGTGTGGTGATGGCTACAGCCTTTGAGCGCTTCGACAAGGATGTAATGGCCATATTTGTGTGGAAGAGTTCGCCTGTGCTCTGAGGAGCTACGACATTCGTCTGGGGCCCTCGGAGACAATGCTGCTCTTTCGTTTCCTGTCCCCGGACGACAAGGATGCCCTGATAAAGGAGGACCTGACGGAACCCACTTCCTTCACCGATCGCTGTCAAGTTGCCTTGCAAGGTGCGCAAGAGAAAGCTGCCGAGTCGACGGGCTTACGTAGCGCCTCGAAAGTTTTGGGCTCGGAGCACGGAACCGAGTGCTGGATCAAGCGCATTCAAGGAGCCATCTCGGGACGAGATGGCCCGGAGATCTTGACCGGTGCCGTCGACCTTGCAACGAGCTCCATGGCAGCCAGTCTCGCGCTGATGCACGCTCACACGCACCCACACGACGCAGGCAACGTTGGTCTCGCCTTCCAGTGTCTGGAGCAGCTGGGTTCGGCTGTGGACAACATCTTCACTTCTGTGCTAGATGTGGTCGATTCCTGCTGCCTGCTGCCACTGCTGATCTCCAGCTTCTTTGGCGCCTTGAAGTCGCTGGCGGCGAATGACCTTGTCGCTCTGGATCAAAACGAGGCTCTGCTTTATGCCCTCAACTTCCACGACAAGGGCTGTTCCACGAGCCTTTTCCAACGGCTCTTGTCCTGTGGCGGCTGCCGCTGGGGCAAAGCCCCAGCCGGGCAGACCATTGCCTTTGCACAGGAGTTGCGAATCATAATCCGCGGCAGAGCCTTGCGCAAATTTCGGGACGGTGCTCAGGAGGAGGAGCTGGGGTTGGGCGCGGTCTTGCAAAGCTCGCAGGAGGATCATGTCATTGCCACTGAAGCCGTCACCTTCGTGGCTTGGGACATGCAAAAACTCTACCAGTTCATTCGCAATGCTCAGGACCATCAGCTTGTGAAACTTGTCGATGAGATGATGCAGGATGCCTCGCTGGCTGTTGAGCACCGCTCCGTCAAGACTGCGAAGACAGCAGAGTCAGAGGCTTCCGATGGATGGACCTCGCTACTGTCTCCTGTCGGCTCAGCTTTGGGAGAACACTGTAGGCGTAAAGGTTTCGTGCATTGGGTGCATCTTCTAGAAGGCCTGCAGCATATCTTCGAGAAGGATGCATCCGCGTGGGAGAAGATGGACAAGTGTCGCTCCCTGGTCTTGGACAGTGCAGGCAGCTGCTTCGAGAGCGTCTCGGCCCTATGCGACCTCTTCGGAGCGGCATCGGTGCTGAAAGGGTGGTCGCAGACGCAGCAGCTTTCCCCGGATGATATGGTTCAGCTTGCGCCGATCATGGTCCTTTCGGCCTTGGTTGCCTGTCGTGCTGCCGGGCCATCAGGGTTTGCCGGGTGTGAAAGCACGTCCTGTGATTCCTGGCACGCTGGTGGCTCTGATGTCTCGACTGCTGCACTTTGAGCCGCGAGCAAGTCCGTCCTTGCTTGTACAACACAAGCATGTCACAAGGAAAGAGTCTTGAATTTAGACTCTAACTCGGGTCAGGGGTTGGCACGGGAAGTCTGAGGTGCAGAGAGGGCGAAGTGATGTAAGTATAGGAACTTTACATCATAGCCTTGCGAAAAGGTCTTCCCATGAGTAAATTCTGCCAGTCCGTGCAACGTGGGAACATCTCCTGGACGACCTAGAGAAGACCTGCAAAAGTGCACAGCACTTTTGCAGATCACGTTGGACGCCTGGGGCGACATGCCTCCCTATGAGTGGCTGTCCAACTAGACATCGACTCCGATGCTTTATTGAGGTGTGAGGCCGGAGGCATGGAGAGCCCGTGGTGAATTTGTGCATGAACACAGGCGGGTCCCGATCGATGAGCGTCAGGAAGTCACACTGCCAATTAGGGTGAAGGTAGAGAGAGTTTTCACGCACTGAGGGACCCGGTCATGCTAGAAGGCAGCAGCAGGCAGATGTGTTTGTGTTGCCTGAACGCGGATACGCGTTTCTTGCTTTCGCTCAGAAGACGGTGGCGGTAGGCAGCCGCACAAGATGGAGTCTTGCCCGGCTGCCCAGCCGCCGCAGTTCAAGCAGAGCAAGCGTCTTCCGTCGTGCAGACCCCAACGGCAGTGGGACTTCATAATGGCTCGTGAGCAGTATCATAGGGCTATATCCTGAACTTCATCACAAACGCGGAAGTTCCTGACGCATGCAAGGCCAAATAATTGCCTCACGAGCTGAGAGTTCCTGCCGTTCTGCCCCGCCGTCGGGGCAGATGTGCATGCTATGATCTGCTTTAATGAGAGGCTGCGGAACCCAGCTTCAGAATTCATAACCTCACAGAAATGCCTAGTAAAGCACTAGGTGATTGCCATCCAAGTTCTGCTTTCCCTGACGTAGGAGCAATCTTGCTTGGTTGAGATGGAAAAACGAGGACACCCGCGAGACATCGTGCTCACTCTTGCCCCACATGTTTGTCTGAGAACTTTGAGCCCCCAAAGCAAAGTCCATTGCTACACCTCGAACTTGCATTTGTTTGGTTCACAAGCTATGATATTATGGTTCTAGATTCATTTGAGATCACCCGTCGTCGCGAAGCCTTGCCTGCCTCGAGGAGGGTCGGAGTCGGAGCCGCGGTCTTAAAATCCCAGAAAGCTACCCGAAGCACAATAAATTTTTTGATGCATTTACGCGTCATGCTATCTCTGCCCAGCCGTGACACCACTTTACACGCAACCTGGGCAACATCGACTGGAGAGGCCGACGGTGAGAGTCCACGATCTAAAGGCGCAGTTGTAAACAAACCACACATAAACCCTCAAAAGTAGGTAAAATAATGGCCCGAAACCTCTAAAGCGCTATTATTCTACATACTTTCGGGGTCCAGGTAGCTGTTTTGGTTTCCAGGGGTAAGGAAAAGTCGTGAGTGCGTCGCAGCTCGAGGCTGGCCTCAGCCTGTGATGTTGTGACGAACGCAAAAACTAGAAACTCGATGCCGCGAATCTTGCGCAGAGCACCCTGGAAGTATCGAAAGCCGTGTGGGAGCAAGTTGCATGAAGCCGCTCATGCCGTGTAAGTCTCGAAGTTGCTCCGTGCTCATTTACACCTGAAAAGCCCCGAGTCCACACCAGAGCAGGTCGCGGACGGTGTCCAAAGGCTCTATCCTGGCTATCGTCTCCATTGTAGTCCCTTTTTGGGATTACCTTATAGGATCCGAATTATAGCCCTAAACCTATAAACCCTATAAGGCTAAACCAAAAAGAAGGAACTACAGTGGATCCGAATTATAACCCTAAACCTATAAACCCAATATAAACCCAAAAGATACCAAAAGAAGGAACTCCAATGGAGACTACAGGTAGCGCCCGACGCCTCTCCAGCTGACGGAAATGAACCGACTCCGGGAGCCTGAAGACTTGAGACTTAGACTATGACATGCTACAAAAGCCCCCCCCCAAAAAAAAATAAAACAAAAAACAATAACGATCACTATATTATGACTATACTAATAGTAGTATTATTAACATTGTGTTTGGTATTGTTATCTTTATTAGTTGCTATTGCGACTACAACTCCAAAAGAAGCCGAAAAAAAGCCGCAGCTCCGAGGCGGAGACCTGCAGAGCTCATACGAAGCGCCTGGAGGCTGAGCTGACTGGCGCAGAGGGCGCCAAGGCAAGGACAGCGGTGGATCTTCAGGGTTTAGGGTTTAGGGTGTAGGGTTTAGGGTGTAGGGTTTAGGGTTTAGGGTTTGGGGTTTAGGGTGTAGGGTTTAGGGTTTAGGGCCTAACCCTCCAGGTACCTACTAT